TCCACTCACCTCAGCCTCCCAAAGGCACGGGATTACAGGCTGAGCCACCCAGCCCGGCTTCCTTCAAACTTTTAAAAGAAATTTACAAACTAAAATTCTGTATCCAATTAAACATAATGTAGAGGTTAAATGAAGACACTTTGAGTCATACAAGATATCAAATAAGCCAGGCGTGGTAGCTCACACCTGTAATCCCAGCATTTTGGGAGGTAGAGGCAAGAGGGTGGCCTGAGCCCACAGGTTCGAGACCAGCCTGGGCAACTTGGCGAGCCCTCATTTCTACAGTAAAAAATTAGCAAGGCATGGTGGCTCATGCCTGTGGTTCCAGCCACTTGGAAGGCTGAGGCAGAAGGATTGCCTGTGTACGGCAGGTCAAGGCTTCAGTGGCCTTGAGTGTGCCACTGTACTCCAGCCTGGACCACAGAGTGAGACTCCGACCAAAAAAAAAAAATCAAATAATTTCCCACCCCTATATCCTTTCTCAAGAAGGAAGTCCTTCCTAAAAATAAGGGCATAAAGCAAGCAAAATGAAGTCACAGGATACAGAAAATGGGATTTAACACAGAAGAGAGTTGAAGGAAATGCCCAGATAATGGTGATGGAATACCCAAGGATGACTACTACACAAGACATAGTGAATATATTGAAGCCTATCAGAAGATCCTGGCAATACTTCTTCAGAAAGATTAATAAAGTACCGGATGCATCCCAGTATCTTAAGAGTTAGGCAATCAGCAGAGTGAGGCTAAAAGAGGTTCTTCCTAAAACAAAGCCTGACCCAGGGTTCAATCAGTGAGGCTATTAATTCTATGCAAAAACTTACCAAAAGAGCCAAAAACTTGCCAATTATTAACTCCAGGAAAGCAAGATATGCAGAAAAGAAAAAGTAAATTATGGCCAGTGTTTGGATGGCATGGTAATGTCAACAGTAAATACTAGTCTAATCAAATTATGACGTAATGATGTTGGGAGAGGACATGGTATTGTGGAGGTTATAAAAGTTATCAAATCCACATCTCACAGTGGGAAGTCAGCAAATAACACCTTAAAGTTAAAAACCAAGGGATTACATCCATTTAAAAACCTGCACACCAAAAGAAGGAAACAGGGAAAAAATATTTGAAAGCCATGTATGTGGTAAAGGGTTAACATCCAAAATTTATAATGAACTCAAATATTAGCAACGAAACATCTCAGTTTAAAAATGGGCAATTAGCCGGGCTTGGTAGTGCGCACCTATAATTCCAGCTACTTGAAGGGCTGAGGCGGAAGGATTGCCGGAGCCCAGCAGGTCAAGGCTGGGGTGGCCGTGAGTGTGCCACTGCACTCCAGGCTGGGCAACAGAGTGAGACTCCAACTCAAAATTAATTAAAATGGGCAAAAGACCTGGATGGACATTTCTCAAACCATACAAATGGCCAGCAGGTATATGAAAAAACGCTCACAACATTGCTAATCATTAGGGAAATACAAATTAAAACCGCAATGAGATATCACTTCACACCTGTCAGAAAGGCTAGTACCAAAAGATAAAAGATAAAGAGTTATCAGGGAAATGCAAATTAAAACCACATTAAGATAATCACCTCACACTGTCAAAAAAGATGGAAGATAACAAGTGCTGGAGAAGAATCCTTTCACAGTGTTGGTGGAAGTGTAAAGGAAAACATTATGGAGTCTTCTCAAAAAAATTAAAAATAGAACCACCATATGATCTAGCAATCCCACTACAGGGTATAATAGTCAAAGGAAATGAAATCAGTATGTCAAAGAGATATCTGCACTCCCGTGTTCACTGTGGCACAATTCACAGCAAGCAAGATGTGGAATCAACCCAAGTGTCCATCAGTGGATAAATAGGATAAGGAATATGTGATATATACGCAATGGAATAGCAGCCTTAAAAAAGGAAAGAAATCCTGTCATTTGTGACATGTATAAAACTGGAAAACATTATGCTAAATGAAGTAAGTCAGGTGACCGGGTGCAGTGGCTCATGC